TATTCAACTGGCGGCCCGCGGGCCAGATGCGGCCCAGAACCAACTCCCGAGTGGCCCAGCCTCCCGTAGCCAAATTCCTACACTAGTACAGACCTTGAAAGCAACACTCCGCGTTTCATAGAAACCACCAAACCACAATGTAGCACGTTTTTTGAAAGTGCATCTAGTGGTGCTAGTAACGGTGGTCCTATGATAGCAACTCTAAAACATGTCTCTCTCAACTCTGAAGCGTAAACAGAGACAAAACGGTCATTGAATGACCGTTTTGTCTCTGTTTACGCTTCAGAGTTGAGAGAGACATGTTTTAGAGTTGCTATCATAGGACCACCGTTACTAGCACCACTAGATGCACTTNGACGTTAAGTGCTGTTCTTCTTCCGTTCAGAGACTTCATAAAGGTCGTAAGAGAATAAATGGTAAGTAAGTTCACTACAATACGGAAATAGACGATTACATGTCCGTCCTTCTCACCATTTGACAAGAGAGATCAACCGACTGTATTGCCAAATTTCAAAATGTCCGATTTTTTGTACCTCCGTAAAAAAGGGGAAAATAAAATAAAAATCAACAGTAAACGTGTAAAGTAACCACCGAGCGGAGAGGTGAATTGAGGACGCTCAAGTTAGTCAGCACAGTGGTGTTGTGTTCCTCTTATGACCACTCCTTTACACACAACATCAACAACGTATGTAAACGACTGCCCCTTGATGTAAACTTATGTCAAATTCCTTTATAGCAAAAAAACTCTGTAACAATATTCCCTACAAAACAGGTATTATTTTATTATATCGTAAATATAATAACTTAACTAATAACATCTCATCAAAACGTAAATATAAATTAAGTAATGTAATGTATATGAATAATGAATGAAAATAGGTTTGCCTGATTGTATAAAGTTAAGACACCCGTTAGGGGTCCTCGTTAAACCCGACTTCACTGTGTGCTGTACGACCTGACGTTAACAGCGAACCCCGGGGTACACGGTCACCGCAGGACGTGTGTGTGTGTGTGGTAGTGTGTGTGTGTGTGTGTTGTTTTGGTGTGTGTGTGTGTGTGTGTGTGTAGTGTGTGTGTGTTGTGTGTGTGTGTGTGTGTGTGTGTATGTGTGTGTGTGCTACTGCTCTCAAAGGTCCAACTTTAACTCCGCCTAGAAAAATTACAAATCTCCAACAAACAATAATAAGTACACTCTTATAACCGAGTATACTAAGTTTACATATTTGTTTTGTAAACGTATTCTTTTTTTTTTTTTTATAAACAGGTGAGTATCACAACTATTCTCGATAATTTTTGAACTTTTTGATAGGGAATTTTCCTTGTAAATCTTGTCTATTTTTTACAACACTAATTAAACGTAATTAGCGCAATTGATAAAATTAGCTGACTGTCGGGATTAAGAACATATATAGCCTCTGGATACGATTACGGATTTTTATCGTACTATCCCCACGTGAAATTTTCTTCGAATAGGGTACGTAAAAGGGATACATGTGATATCACCCCCACCATTAACATAGGGCCAAATAAACGAACCGGAGAGACTAGACTCGAACCTTAGCGGTTAATTAAGTCCTGTAGACGTGATACAACAGACCCATTCTGGGATTGAAAGGAGAACCAGTATGAAGTCACAAAGTCTGTGGTCAGATTACGTAGACCGTCGTGGGTCGTGTTGCGTCTGACAGAGATGTAAGTTAATCGGGAGGGTCGTCAGTCTTTGCACCTAGGCGGGCTCGAGATCGCCTCGTTTTGTCCCGTCCTACTACTACCACCACAAAAGAGGGAGACCTTAACATTATCTGTTGCAATCGCATAATCGTTTAGTTGACCACCTGTACCAGAATGTAACTCGCCCAACTAACTTTTTTAGTTGGACGTACTTGTAGAAAAACTAGGTCTGATTAATAAAACACCTACTAGTCTGTTATTCACAAAGTGGTACAAATGAAAAGAAAAAAGTTGTAAAAATTGTGAAACTACGAACGGTTTTGAAATAAATGTCATGTGGATCTCAGTCGAAAAACCTTTTGTCAGTAACCTATAATTTCCAGGGGATAATATGAAAAAAGACATAGTTATATAATATGCCAGAGCTCTTATATTTTTTTTTTGTACAGAGACTTCACAAACCGAGTTTGTGGGTTGTAAAGAACGTCGAATGGATTAGTGGTGGTGCGCGAGAACAAAGTCGGGTCCAAAGTTTCACGACTAAGAGACAGACAGTGAAAACTACTTTATTCCTCGGGGAGGGGTGCGGAGACTCTCTCTAAACCAGATCTTTCTTGGTGTTGCCACGAGATCCTCCTCTAAGTGCCACTATTCACCCCCAATGGAACCAAAACCACTAACCGATTACCAATGTGTTCGTCTTTTTTTGAGCAATACTGTAAGTATTTTCATCGGTTTTTAGCCAAAAATCTCTTCTCCCTAGTCTGTTTTTCACTGTTTAAAAAAAAGTACTTTGAAAGTCTTAGAGAATATTTTTTGCCCTTTTTCACCTAAAACGTATTATCCACTGGAAATTCTAATTCGTTGAGATAATGTTTGAGGTTACCACTTGTACAAACGATGACGCAGTACACAAAATGTCGATAGGGCCGACTCAATACAAGTTTTTCCTTGTTTATTGATATGTTACTCAGTTTTATGCGGGTCACAAGAGCTTGCCGAGCAAAAAAGATAGACACAAAAGAGGAAAATCATCAGATCTCATGACATTCGACACTTGACTAATGTCTCTCTTCTTATTCAATACACTTCGACTTCGTCTAGCCGGAGAGTTCTGGAGTGCCTATCTACCTCGTTTTAATTTCAACGACCCTTACTTTGCCCTCTGAGGTTGCTAGGTGAACAGTAGGAGTCTTCGGCCCAAAAACTCCTTTTCCCCCTGACTACGTCTTATCTCCGTATCTGTAGTATTAGTTATGACATTATCGACACACTGTTTTACGAAGCAGAACAATGACATTACTGATTTCCATCTAAAATACCTTATATAGACCTTTAGGGTTATTAACATAATTGAAAATACTATATAGAAAAACAAACAAGTAGGGTCTAGCGAGGTGATCCGAGCATACTCCGAGAGGTTGTCGAGGTTTTATTCCCTGTTTGACTTGTTACTGTAGAGGTTCCAAGTTTGTGTGTGTGTGTGTGTGTGTGTGTGTGTGTGTGTCGTGTGTGTGTGTGTGTGTGTGTGTGTGTGTGTGTGTGTGTGTGGTGTGTTGTGTGTTGTGTGTGTGTTGTGTGTGGCTGGTGTGTGTGTGTCGATGTGTGTGTGTGTATGTTTGCCCGCATTGGTGTATTTGGTGACAACAAATTTTACTTAAATCTCCTTGTCCCAACTTCAAAAAGCGTTAACGAACTCGAGTTGAGCTATCACGAGGGAATTTGTTTCAAGTTACTCGGGGAAAATTCCGCCCTTTTCGGTGTAGTCAAAGGGGCTTCATAAAAAGGTAACACACAAAGATTGACTTTTGTTCTTTCAGTGAGTTCAGCTCAGATATTGCCAAACACTTGTATCTCGACAAACCGATGCAAAATAAGAACAACAAACTCCAACCATCCGCATTTAGTGAAAGTCTTTTTGTGAACAAAATAGTAGTGGTAACCGTTACGAAGCAGTTGTAGGGCTAATCGCTAGCTATAGAATTTACGAAACTGTTATTTTATGTAAATTTTTTTAGAGTAAGACACCTCGTCGGCACCCGCGACATTTTTTCGGCTGCCTGGTTAGTAGACTCCGGGCGGGCAGATTTCATTGACCTACCCCCGGGATTGGACGGACCAGTCCGGAAGGAGACCCGTGTTTGAATATAGAGCAACGGTAGTAAGCAAGTACACGCGCAAGCACACACAACCTCCTCCCCGAGACATTCTTCAGACCTAATATGGCAATTAGCAATTTGACTTATACAACATTCGCAAGTTGTACATTTGACTCATACAATAACCCACCTTCGAGTGATGCTCTAGTTTCTTCATGTTTTGTTTTTTTCCCCTCTTGCTTGCGCCGGACTGAAACTGTCTTTTCACCAACATCTCTTCACCTGCACTAGTGGCCGTATCAAAGCCGTGATTGGTCAGATGTCGATTCATTGCAACGGTGTCGGGTTACAGACGTGCTCCCCTTGTCACCTCTCACTCTCGCGTGTCACCGGGGGGTGCGCAGAGAACTGTGTGGCTCGAACAGGAGCTGCCTGGACGCTGCAATCATGTTGCGCGCACTATCCGTGCTGAGTGTGCTGACTTTTCCCACAATATCCCACTGTCTGGCTACCTGCATAAAGTCAAGTGCTCGGCGCAGTTGTCGGCGAAATGTCACTCCTCTGTTTTCATTTAAACAGCTCCTTATATCCGTTAGCGCAACTAGCTAGCACCAGATGCTAACAACAACAATACACGTAAGGTGTTCCTGTTCTCGCTCGCTCGCGCCACACATACACACACCCTCCCGGTCCTCCCGATGGCCAGTCGGTGCCTGCCGGTGAGCGTGGAAGTGTGGTCTGCCACAAGCGGGCGGCAGGAGCGGGGCTGTCAGCATCAGCTTGTAGATATTTTAAACTCGATGCGCTCTGAAACTACGGGGCGGCCGAGGACAAAAAATACACATGCGTTAACACATTATTGTTAACGCCTTATTAATGCGTTAACTTGACAACCCTAATAAAAATATATTAAAAAAGTGTCTTGCTCAAAATACCAAAAAGATCACCCATTCTAGCCATGCCTCATATCCCTCTATTTCACTTCCTGTTTCGAAAGTGTTGATTTTGGGTATAAAGGTTTAAAAAATAATAATAATAATTAATATAAGAAAAAAAGGAGGGGTCTGAGCTCATGCGGGAGATGCTACTGGCAGATTCTGCCGTGATGAAACGCCATCTCATGGATTATCAAGGATTATTTCTGAAACAGTATGGAGCTCAAAGGCTTTCTCTCTTGCCGGTTATACCACAAGGTGAATTCCTTTTTATTTCCTGCTTCTTCACACACATGCTCTCCAGTACAGGTTAGCTCTGAGTGTTAGCGATCCTAATGTAATTATAATATGATTATAATCAGGAGAAATATGAAGGGTGTATTTCAAGTTATGCAAACAGGTCATTGGGATTTTTGCTTATCAACTAAGATATGTTAGAAAATGTTTCCAACTTGAATTGACTGAATTTATTTGAAAAGTGTTCTTATTAACACATGAATACTACTGTGTAATATATTTACATTTATATTTAAGAATATAAGACAAGCACAAGTTTCATTTGTGGGCCATATTCCATTATACTTTTTGAATTTGCTGACAGCCGATTCAAAATAGTGGGCGGGCCGCATTTGGCCCCGGGTCGTATTTTGGACACTACTGTTTTAATAATACCTTTTAAAAGCTTCTCTGTAACCAAAATCCTCTTTATCTCATCATACACGTTTATTGAAAAGCTGGCTGACAAGGAAAAAGAAGGTAAAACAACCTGCGCTGTAGCGTAGCATTCAGCTTCTTGTGGTCCATGATGATCTGGTCTTTTTCTCGCAGCTCCGCCCGGATTTGCTGGTTCAGCTGCTGCTGATAGAAATACAGCGCTAAAACTACAGTATCAACACTTCTGTGTGGGTGTGGATATGTGCGTGTGCGCTCAGAAACAAAAATGGTCTGCAAAGCTTAAAATCCCAAAGTTCCCTCTATAGTGTATTAGAAAAGCAGCAACTTTATGATTTCAGTAGGCATGAAAAATGGGATGAAGCCAACATTAAAAGAAAATGCAGATGTCCCCTTTTAGTTCAACTATAATGTGCTCTTCTCTACATCTTCTTCAAATACTTTTTAGAATATCTCATTGTGATGACAGTAATATTTTCAGGGCAGTAAGGCCATTTGCACTCTTTGAAATTAGGTTTTTGTCAGTTTTAGTTTTTCTAAAAACCTGTATTTTGTTCCTCTTTGATGTGTGTGTGTGTGTGTGTGTGTGTGTGTGTGTGTGTGTGTGTGTGTGTGTGTGTGTGTGTGTGTGTGTGTGTGTGTGAGAGAGTGTATGTGAGAGAGNACTAAACATGAAGAAACTAGAGCATCACTCGAAGGTGGGTTATTGTATGAGACAACTTGCGAATGTTGTATAAGTGAAATTGCCAATTGCCAACCTCTTAAGCCCCACGGACCCGGTTCCGGGGCCGAAATTGCGTCATTTGCAGGAAACAACGTCTAAGGAACCTTGCCCACCTCAACACCGAAAGATACAAACTCGCGACGTTATCAACAAAAACGTACATCAAAACATGTGGCGCAAGGTAGCCTACAACGCTAACATGGCTTGCCTTGTTTTTGTCTGGTCAAAACTGGCCTTCAATGGCATTAAAACGACAACAACGATGCTGTAGTTAATCCATAGGTTAATATCCAATGTGACTGTGTCCCTTTTGAAATTTTCTGATAATCTTAAGCAATAAAACTGCAATTCCGTTTTCAAATAGTAGAGCAGGCCATTCCTACGCTCTGTAGCAAGATTGAATGCGCGAAGACGCCATCTTTTTTTTTTACATGAGTGTGTGCGATTTCCCTTCGATTCTATTGGCTTTAACGGTCAGAAAGAGATGTCACATGTCAAAATCGAAGAAGGGGGGCCAGAGATAAGGAAAATCCACCCAAATGGCCCCAGAAGAGGGGTTTTTTGCTAAATCTGTCTAAAAAGGTCAAATATCACTTATTTTGCATCAATCTTGATACTGGGTACTTATTATATGTTCTACTTTGGATTCCTAAAGCTTTTGGTCTACTAACCCATCATCCAAGGTTAGTTTTCACTATAAGTACAAAATATATTTTGGACGGACACTATAATTTACAGTTTTTTACCATGTTCAATCTGAATTTTCTTTAAAATAAGAGACATCTATATTGATTCTGACTTTTCTACATCCAACTCACAGGTTTATCATTACTTTGAGAAAAAAGATTATGAATTTAACCCTTTTAGAAGGGAAGATATGGTCATTTGTTCTGGGAATGTCATTTTCGAGCCTGAAACCTGAAAAACAGGCTTGGGGTTTAAGAGGTTAATAAGCTTTTAGATATTATGGGAGGACAAAAGAGACGGTATATTTGTAATAAGGATTGCTACTCAGAATGCAAATAGTTGCATCATGTCTTGTGTGCCCTGAGGGATTATATATATATATATATCAATTACTAAGTTATGATTTTTGATGTTTTAATAATGTTCATCACTTTAATGCTGCAGATGGTGAAAGTGGAGCTCATTTTATTACCTTATATACTGCTGGAAATCAAAATCTATAACAATTACATTATAATAAATACATTGACCTAGTGTTATGTGAGCTCTATTTTATTTTCACACAGTATTGTAGACAGTAAAATGTATTATAATGTATACACGTAATTAAATTCTGTATTAACAAATAAACAGAGTCTGTAAGATCACTTGTTTTGCAAAATAAATGTAAAGGAGTAAAAAGTACAATATTTGCCACAGAAATGCAGTGGAGTAGAAGTATAAAGTAGATGGATGTTGAAACACTAAAATATGAGTAAATCAATAAATGGTACTTTAGTGTATTTACGTTTTGACTTTCTACCACTGTATATGTGTATATCATTAAATCAGCCAATCTTAGCCTGAATGGCACATTTCCTTTTACATAATACACTGGTTCTATTAAAAAGAGCAACTTGCAAAGGGAGAAAAAGAGGACATTTCCAAGTGACCATCAGAAGGGAATGCAAGGTCGCAGCCTAAGCCAGGCAGTTATAATAGGATATGTGACCTTGGACTGCTCATGTACAGCATAATAGATACATCCACAGTGCAGAAATAAGACTGGCAGAGCAGGTAAGATGCTTATACAGGTACCTCCAATCGGCTTCTTCTTCATGTCTCGGGTAAAATCAGGACTTTGTCTTATCAGGCGGCATGGCTGCCCAAGGAAGTCTGAGAGCCATGATGAAGCCTCATCCCCACAGTCGACAGTCTCCACCCTGGAGGAAGGTGGAGGATTATGATCTGGAGGCCCCGAGGGAAATCTACAAAGTTTTATGCTGCTCACTATCTGGTGCTACATTTAATCCAAAAATCAGTGGAGGAAAATTAGATCTTTTCAAACTTGTCATACGGGTATAGTAAATCAATATAATCTCTTGTTCATTGTTTTTCCATTAAAAGTAGTAAATAACTGGAAATTCATATGAAAGAGAAAGCAGGGGACGTTATAGTGCCACAGCAAGAACAATGTAGCGAGAGAATTCACTGATACGAGTGAAAAATATGAGTGATATGTGTCACAGTATTTCCTGCAGCAGCTGCATTCACATGTTTGAACACCGCCAGCTCACCTGTCACCACAAACTTTACTCTGACACACCCGGTAGCTCGTGTGCGTTTGAGTGTTGTTCTCCAGGGGAACCGAAATGGTATCCATCCCTGCAGGTCATTTGAAAAACAAACATTAATACTTTAACAAAGGGCATTTATCATAGGAAATCCGAATGATTGATACTTCCTATGTCTAAAAATGGTGTTTATTTTTAGTCAGCTGCAGACACACTGCTTGACCTGATGCTTGCAGGAGCAGTTTGTTTGAGGGCAGGTGGACTTCGGGGCGAATGAGGCATAAACGCCGCTCCCTCTTCTGGCTCAGACACACGCCGTTTCCATTCACCACCATCCAGCTTCTGTCATAGCGTAAACCCAGCGGTCCTACTGGCCAGTTGTGGACCTGCATGAAGAAAAAGGACTAAGCAAAGAGAAATAGGAAAGAAGGGGACAGAAACATATTTTAAAAAGACAGAAATATTTGGTTCTAACCTCAAAGGCCCCACAGGATTTAATAGGATATATGTAGATGTTGGTAAGAGTATAAGCCCCCCCCTGGCTGTTTGATTCTCGGTGTCCAAATCCCCTCAGTGCTTCTGTACTCTTCTCCTTCCCATCTACTTTACATATTTCTCCATTCGTTATTCTGATTGGAATATCTTCATTCACGCCGTGGGATGCTGCTGTGGCCGCTTTTAGCTTCTCTAGTCTCACTTGGTCCACTGTGACTGGTTTCTCTACAAAGCACTCAGAGACAAAGTTCAGGAACTTTTGACAGTCTTCAAATGTCGACATGTAGCCAAAGGACACGCGTACAGATCCGGTCGGCTGGCCCTCCACTAGGTCGAGGCTGTCTCCGCAGACGTGGCCGGCCTTGAGGAGAGAAAAGACAATGTTTTATTCTACCTACACACACTTTGAAATTCTTCCTTTTGCTTGACTCTCACCTGCAGGTTTCTCCTTATCTGCTCATTGCTAATCCCGAGGAAGGACTGACAGGCCCCGGTGTTGCAGAAGCAACCTGTTCGCACATGGATATTGTACAGACTGGCCATTCTGTCCACCTGAGGGCAACGGAGCAACTGTGTTAATATTCAGCAGCGCTGCCTACGCATAAATATGCAATAATTGAACTGTTGTGAAATAGAACAAAATCTTATTTATTGAATGCACCTGAGAATACCCAATTATCTGTCCATGAGAATCCTTGAGGTTGAAGTTTAGGATTGCGCCCTGTGTGCTTGGACTCTCAAACTGGCCTTCGGTGTATATCTGAGCCACTGGTCGCCCGTTGCCATGGCAAACACTTGAGAGCAGCATGTAAGTGTAGCGTGCCAAGCCAAACGTGTGCTGTTGGATGTTGTGCATTCCCCCTGGAGCCAAAAAGGGATGAACACAGGGAGGCTTGATGTTAACCTTAAGCAGATCATGAATACATTGCATATGTATTATGATTCTGCAACTAAAATATGTTTTAAGTTTTTCCATACAGCACCTGTGATTCTGTCAAGAGCTTCAAATCCATGATTGACAGCAATAATGTCCAAGAAAGAGACAGTCCCGTCTTCAAACCTTTATCGTCGAAAAAGTAAACAGTGCATATTAAAATAAGGTTGCAGCAGCTTTCAAAGGATATCCAAGATTTAGCTGGCTTGTACAGTGCTTTACCTGTCAGAAATGTTTACAGCTGGCACATAATAATCTTCCCCAGAAAGGTAAGCTGCTGCTGTGCCTCCTCCAAAATAAGTCTTTTTTAGTATGCCTGCTGCGTTGTGACGGACAATAAGGGCCCCAAGACCTGTGGGGAAGCCAAACATCTTATAGAAGGAGACGGGAATGAAATCAGCAGGGCACTCCTGTAGATTTAGAGGGGAGCAGCTGACATGAGATGCAGCATCGAGCAGCACAAACCAGCGTCCTTGGTGGTCACATGCTGGGTAAAGGCGTTTCGTTTGGATGCCTCTCACATGGCTGAGGGGATACTTCCTCCCAGAGAAGTTGCTCTGCGCTGGGTAGCAGAAAAGATGTGCCGTCTGGCAAATAACATTTTCACCTTGAGCCTCATCTTTTGCCCTGTTTTCCACTTCCTGAGGGGAGACAGGCAGGGCAACTGCTCCCTGGGCAGAAGTCAGTCCTCTCATGCCTACTACAGAGGTGTGGCTGTCAGTAAAATAGCAGAAGAGACTCCCAGCCTCGCTCTCAGACTGCGGACTCCAGGGAAAGCTCTCAGCAACTAATTTGAGTGCGGCTGTACATCCAGAAGTGAAAATCACAGAGTACTCCTCAGGGGTGGTGTTAAAATGCTGCAATATCCTGTAAAAACACCAAAACATTTATGTTCACCTATTTCATCCAGAAAAGCTGTTCAAAGGGGCCCTGATAAAAATATGTATTAATAGAATTTACCTGTATCTGACTCTCTCCACTGTGTCATGTGTCAATCTACTGCTGGGGTGATGGCTGTGGGGGTTTCCTATTTGAACATATACAAATAAATGTTTTTAGTTTTTAGAAAAAGATAAACAGTTGAAATTAATGTGACTTCTCTCACCATACACATTCCTTGAAATGTCCTGGAAGTAGTCTCTGACCAGAGACTCTGGATACAGTGTAGTTGCTGCATGATCCAGATATGTTATCCCTGTTTGAATGAGTAGAGCAGACATGTAAATATAGAGACGAGTAGCCTGTCACTGCGGCTTGTGAACAGCCATTACCTTTAGTGCGTTTGAACTCCTGCTCAATCACGTCTTGTAAGTTTTCCCCATAACCGTAGTGACTCCACCACTGCTTAAAAGTGTTAAAACTGCAAAGTTTTTGGAAATCCATCGACCTCTTTTCGGTTAGAGAGCTACAGAGCAGACCGCGGGGCTGTTATGGTTTCAGGCGTTTCGACAGACACTACTGCTTATCATTGACATGTTTCAAAGTCCGGGGAACTGCAGCTGACCTTCATAGTCCTCCTCCCGAGTCGTCACGCATACCGGCTCGAGGCTAACGTTACTTACTTTCTGGTAGGTACAGCATGTTAACACGTGAGAAGAATACGTTACTGTTTACTTTTTGTGGAGGTCAGCACAGCTGGTAAGACTTCTGTAACAACTGGTTTGCTATCATGTGACTGAACGTTTTTTTTTTACTCTCCTCCCCCTTCAACTTTTAGCTTTATTTTTTAGATAGCTATTAGCATGTTGCTCAATATTAGCTAACATTTGCTTAATATGGAGTGCAATGCAAACAGCAGCTAACTTGGCAGAACACCAGTGAAGGAAAATAAGAAAGCCATTTACAAATGTTCAGTGAGTATTCAACTTCATTCTAATGTATGTTAAATAATGAACATTATAGGCGATATTATAAAAAATAAAAAATGACTGTAGCCTTATATGTTATAACAAATATGCTTGTATTTGGGTAAATGTAGGGTCCAACACCCATTTTACCAATAACTATTTGTATCATTATTTGTTTGATTATATGTAATATGTATATTTCAAATACAACAGAATAAAGCCTACTGTGATAACCTACAGTATACATTACATATATACACATCAAAACAGATGTAGAAAAGAAACAAATATATAGACAGGATACATAGAGAAGCAAACAAATAGGCCTATACTGAAATAGCTGGTATGTATTTCAATAGCCCTGCCATGCATTACTTTACAGTAGGGTCTACTAAGTTTGTTTTGCAAAACATTTGAAAAGAATAATCTTCGTAGTTTGTTTCTCTTATGTAATAATAATACCTACACAGGCAGGATGCTGCAGGATTTCCACCATGAGGTAAGGGAGGAACAATGTTTTCTACATCTTTATTTAATCTCATACAATATGATAAAGACACAGATTTGTCTACGCCAAAAAAAAAGAAGTCTAACGTTGTTAACAATACTGTAATTTTCCCAAGTGGTAATGTATCAGATTTCAAGTGGGTCATGTCAGTCCACCATGCTTGAAAAGGTTATGTTTATTTCAAATGATAAAGAAAGAACTATTTAAATATTATATTGATCTTTAATCCGTGTATTCAAGGTACCCCTCGTTTTTTTAGGGTAAACTTCTATTGATCTTCAGTATTTAAACCATATCCTTAATTTAAACCCAAGTCCCAAGTCCTCATTGCACTAAAGGAAGATGCACATGAAGCAATCACGATGTTAAACGTTGATGTTATTCCATTGTAATGATTACTTAATCCCAGGTTATTAGACCTGCAGACTGTTATTAAAGCTAATTATGAACCATGTATTTTATATGTTTCAGTTAGATACAATAATTGCAGCTATAACTTGCATTTCTCTTCATTTTTCATACTTTATGTTTCATAATTTTTCTACGCTGCTTTCAGTAGTTACAACTGATTACACCACCAAAAAGTCTCAGAAATCACTTCACAGTAATCCCATTACATATAATCCCAGACTCTTTAATCTCATTGCCACGCAAAGGTATATGAAGGAGGAGGACATTAGTCACAATAAGTAATTGGCATGAAATGTCTGATCATCCCATGGTCTCTAAAAGGATAGCAATAACTGTCACATACTTTGCCAGACAACATGCCCTTGACAGCTTTCACAGCTTTGTTGTGGTTATGATTATGTTTGTAGTTTGAAAACAAAAAGACATATGGTTGTTCAAGTTTTATCAGACTTATTCTGGACTTTGATTGACCTTTACTTAACCCCACATTTCCAAAAAGTCCCTTTTAAAAGAGAAGAATGGCAACAACCTTTGCTTTAAGATTATCTTCATCTTTGTGTTATCATAAGGACATTCAATCCGTTTAATAACAGGGATACAATTTTGAAATTGTATTGAAATCCCAGTTGAGAAGTAAATGTGCCTGCTTAGATGTCTGATAGATGGCCATGAGGCTCACAGCAGTCATCATTGTCCCCGTGCAACGCAGTGAGTAGTAATTAAATCTGCCACTTATGCTTCACTGATTCATTTCCTTCACAATTTTGAAGCTCAGCTGAATACATTTTTTCTTTGCAGAAGGGTTGTATTGTATCCAGTATGGCCTCATTACAAGGGCAGAAGGGCTTGGTGTGGGGGAGGGCAGAGGCAGTGAGGGGGGAGAAGCACCCCATGAAGACATTGTGCTTAACATCACTAAATACCTCAAACGCCACATTGTCCTTCCCAGCCCTCAATTAGTTGGGGTCCTTGTACAAAGCACCGATTTCATACAGGAAGATTTATTTTTAGAGAAAATCCGGCCCTGTGCATGCGGGAAGCTCACTGAAAATCTAATGAAGAACACAGCAGTCATGCAGAGTTGTTAGTCTCAGAGCAACATCGGTTAAAGCTTCTCTTCAGTGACTCCATGTGTGTTTTTGATGCCTGCAAAAGGCTAGACCTCTCCAGTTTTTTGTTGTGTGAGCTGTAACTGTAGCCTGCCCTATCTGTGCTGGACAGTGTCCAGCCGAAGAGCCTCTTTGCCCTGCCCTCAGGCCTCGCAGCTTGTGGATCTCCGTGCGGAGGAACGCCTCTTTGGTGCCTGTGACAGGGAGAATTAGGCAAGAGATGCGGGTTCACTTGCCCTGCGTAGGGGCTTATCTTGGGCTAAGCTGAGGGACTAATAGCAAAGCCAGCCTCCGCTCCAGCCGGTCTGAGGGCAAAGGGAACCATCTGTCCAGTCTGTGGATAGCTGACAACAAAGGGACAAACATTGAACACGGACTACAAACTAAAAGGCTGTTCATTTAGGAGATTCCAGAAATACAGAAAAGGAGCAAATATTTTTATAAAAGGTCAGTACTTATTTTTTCATTACAGGCCTCTTGCTGAGCCACAACTGCCAGGGTCAGACTCCTCACAGCTCAGATTCAACCGCCAACAATGTTGCAGACTGCAGTAATGTTGGGGTTTAGCCAGACACAAAGTTGATGTTTAACTTTTTATTTAGCCGTCCTTTTTGGTTCTTTAAAACTAAAGGGAGTGTCTGCCTTCATTTTAATGCACCCCTCCTGACTCCCATTAGTTCATTTGTGCTGGTTGTTTTCCACTCTGCTGTGTCTAAAAGCACTTTGTTGCCCTCTTAACTTCAGAGATAGTTTGGGCTACAATGAATGTTCACATTAATGCAAACATGAATCTCTGATAGTGAAACCTTTGTGTTGAGGGATGATTGCCATGCTGCATGGCCCCATGTTTACGGTCTGATATTTGATGGTTATAAATAGATATTTAATGTAGATACTTAATAAGTGATTTGAAATAATTTCATTTTGATAAAGACAAATAATTTAACACATATTGTTTCAAAATGTTTTGAAAATTATACCAATGTTCTCTATTGAAGGGATTTTCACCCTAAACTGTAGCACTATTGTATGTAATAATCTTTTAAAATACAATGATCTTTTCATTACAATTTTCAGAATGTGAAACATGGCTTTGTTTTAGCCTCACATTTTGAATACATTTTCTTATAAAACCTCTCAAGTAATCCACTTACACATTGTTCTCTATTTCCCTCAAGGATTAATGCCCTGTTTTTTTTTCATTGTCTGGAGTACATTTCTGCTTGTCAGTGCTCCAGGATGATTCCTGTAGATTATCTGTTTTATTATGTATACTCTGAGGGTGCTGTTGTGCACCAGTGTTTTGTTCGGAAGTCTTGAGTGGGCGCTGACGTGCTAGAGGTGACAGAAATGGGTCAAAAGGGTCTTAGCATTAACTAAACAAATCCCAGCCTATAGGATTAGACTGAGATGTGTGCTGTTTATTTGATGTATTCACTGTAACTTTGTAATGATACAGAGAGAGAAGAATAGCTGTGTGTCTTGATGACAACCTCCACTTGTAAATCCTTTAGCTCAGTCGGGTATTATAAATACTAGAAGCTGCTAGAACAATAACTTGTTGTAAATGTGTTTCTGCTTCTGAAAAATTCAGTGTGATTTATTTCCTGATTTGGTCACATTCCAGTTCAGCCAGTTGTCTTATCCCCAGAGTTAGCAATACTTGAGTGAAACCCTCACTTATTTTGGTAATTTTTTAGGTGTTAAATGGCAACAGCGATATCTGTATTTTTAGGATATGTTGGATAGTTTGATGTTGTGGGGAAGCACTCATTATGAGAGTTGGATGAGAAGATTGATACCAGTTTCATATCTGTCTATTAAATCTGAAGCTACACCCGATCCATTAGCCGTTTAGCTTAGCTTAGCATAATGGCTGGATGCAGGGGGTAAAGCAAGCCTGGCTTTGTCCAAATGTATCAAAATCCAGCCCCTGTTAAGGTAATTTGTTAACAGATTATATCTGGTGTATTTCATCTTCACAGGGATTAAGTAAAGTGCGAGAAAAATATGACATGTTATCATCTTTTTTATGTTTTTGTAGGTATTTCTGTTGTAGTTTGACAGCATCAAGAAAGCTGTTTACAGTCTTTATTCTAAAGTAAGCTAACTTGCTACAGATCTAGCATACAGACAAGGGAGCAATATCTTCTAATGTGCTGTAACTGGGAACAACTCATGCTTACTCGCAAGAAACATGCTGCCTTTTCCCCGCCCTTTCTCTAAGAAAGTAAATCCACTTTTGCAATACACCAATAGGTGAAGTCTCTCCGCTCACTCAGTCCATATAAACAGTCCCCTTTTAAAATTAAATTGTGTATAATGTCTCCCAACTGTGGCTTGTACAAAGCCTGGTGTCAAAATAAATCTGCTGAAAGCATTTCTCAGAACCACGATGGTGTAATAAACAAGGTGACATTTGCACTTCTTAGACATTAAGTCTTCTCACTGTCTGTTATTGCGCAATAAGCTGCCCTTCCTACACTGCATCGAGACATTCTTTATTTGTTCTGCAAATACAACGAATTGGATACGCGGCTACAACAGAGCCGACATTGTGTGGTGTGATATTAAGAGGCAGTCACACTCACATCTCCTGGTCCTTTGTATCTTATCTTATCCAAGAGACTCTCACAACTTGTGTTTAGCCAGAACTAAAGAAACAGTCCCATGTGAAGATTGCACCTGATAGGACTATCTTCAACCGTTCACAACAACACGGTCAGATGACAACAATGATCCACAACTCTTCAGAGAACATCAGCCCCTTGATCAATTTCAGCCTTTTAGCTGCATTACAATAACTGTTCCAACTTTTCTGGCTACTTTACACTCCAAATAGTGAAGGTAATGAGCCATGACAGTTTCAAATTGAGGCCTGTTTTATCTGCTGCAGACTGATTTAACAACGATGATGCAGCTTATGCACAGTTAATGCTGTGAAAGCTTTCACATTGGCTGTGTCTGGTCACTCTTTCCCAGAAAAAATCCCGTTGAGCACAGGCAATGATACATTTCTCGCCAATGGGGCTGTAATTCTGTACAGAGAAGAAAAACTGGGTAGTTATCATGAGCAGTGATGATGAACACAATGACTTAACAGACAGGGAAGGCAAGACATGTATTAAAACGTAAAGTTCATCAGTCCTCTTCACACAGTTTGACTTTGTAATAAAACTCCAATGTTGTAGATTGCCTCTTTATTTAACAGATAATTTACTGAATCATGGAGTTAATGTTATGCTCAGGATTTGTGTTGTGTCTTTTCTTTCTTTATTGCAGAGAGCTTATACATTTAAGCTTGGCAAACACAGAGAATGTCCGACAAGGAGGAAATGGTTTCAGATGGGAGTCTGAATGTCACGCTGACTCTCAGGCTGCTGATGCATGGGAAGGTAACATTGACAGATGCGGAAGTAGTTAAAATAATTGACTGTATTTTTGTAGTAATAACCTAATGGTCGGGTAATAGCATGTCATTGTTGTAAAAATGATTACCTCCTGCTCTGGATGTGAAAAGCTGAGAAGAAATTGTGATTGTTTGCTAAGCCTTGTAATCTTTTCATTCATAGGAAGTTGGCAGCATAATTGGGAAGGTATATTTATTTTACAATCCATCAGCATTTATTGATTCATACTGCTTTCTTTCCAAGTGTCTTCATTTAAAAAAACTAATCAATTGTCCTGTTTGGTATTTTCCCACATGATTCTAGAAAGGAGAAACAGTGAAGAAAATGAGAGAGGAGGTGAGCATTCACTTTAATTTAATGTGTTCTGGCGTATCAATTTCAACAAAATTGAGGCTGAATGATTTTGTTTCCAGAGTGGCGCTCGTATCAACATATCTGAGGGATCATCTCCTGAGAGAATAGTTACCATCACAGGGCCGACAGAGGGCATCTTCAGAGCTTTCTCCATGATCGCACAGAAGTTTGAGGAGGTACACAGAAATGAATGTACAACAAACCCCACTGCTAGTGATGTGTGTGTGTGAGAGACAGAGAGGAGAGGTGGGGTTGAGCAGACAAACAGAATGGCTTATTGACCGGTGCAGAATATTATTCCTTATATTAATGTATTTTTTTACGTTGATAAAAATATAACCTGCTCCAATAACATAATTCCCATTACTACCCACTGCAACTTTTAACATATCATCAATAAAAATTATATTGTTTAACACAAGAGCAAGATTATTTTAAAGATTGCACTGAATGCCCTTTTTTCACAGTCCTGCAGAAAAAGGAAACTTGTCAAATCAAGCTGACGTTCTTACAGTCTGGGCTGAAAAACATATTTTTGAATTCTCCCTCAGGATATTACTGCAGCGATGACAAACAGCAACGTGACAAGCAAGCCACCTGTGACACTGCGCCTGGTTTTCCCAGGGAGCCAGTGTGGCTCCTTGATTGGCAAAGGAGGCTCCAAGATCAAGGAGATCAGAGAGGTAGGGGTTCTTTTATTTATTTAATAATTTGTTATATATAGGGAAGCTGTTTCCTGCTCCCAAACGGGGACACACAATCTCCTCCCTGCTGATTTGACAGCAAGTATCAAACACTCCTGTCAAACTTTTATTTTTCTCTGCCTTAAAAATTAGTGTATTTTTTGGGTTTCCGCTCATGAAAATCCCACTGATTATTCCTGTAAAGATCGGCGGAGGATGAATACTCATTCTGAATGGACAATGTTTCTGTGCGCCTCTTCAAATATTGGAGCACACATTGCTATTTGGCTTGCAGCTGCTCCCTGCATGTCAAAATGTGTTCGGGGTAATTTGCGGGGTGCTTGAAACCGTATTTCAATTTGGGTGATGGCAAGCACTTTTCAGCAATAAATAGCTTTTGTGTCTTCTGTTGTCTGTCCATGTTAAGACCACAGGCGCTCAGGTTCAGGTGGCAGGAGACATGCTGCCGGACTCTACAGAGAGGGCTGTCACAATCTCCGGCACTCCACAGGCCATCACTCAGTGTGTAAGACACATCTGCTCTGTCATGCTGGAGGTAAGCACTGTCACACAGCAGATGATCCTCACGTCCAACAACTCTATTTTGGCGTCAAGTCTGTCACATTTGTTTACAGGGGGGTAAAAGGTATTCAGTAGCACTTTCAGGATATGTTCTGTTCCATCTAAACCTTTTTACTCCTTCACGGCTTAAGCTTTGTGTTCAGGTTGTTGCAGTAAGTCATCCTCATGAGCAACAATAATGGCAATATTTGTAAGGATGTTCAACACATTATTACTCTTTTAATATATGTATTTGACTGATATACCCCTAAAACCTTGTCAAAGGAATATTAGTACTTAACACAAATATGTTGATATACTTTTTCTATTAAATCATAATTTCCGTTTTCTTTTTTTTTAAAGGGGCCTTACTATTGAAGTCTGCTCTGATTATTTAGCCCGGCTCTGTTGCAATTGGTCAACTACTTAGAGATACCCCGCCCGTTACATGCAATGTGTTGGAGTGCTAGCCAATAGAAGTGCGAGTGTTACATAGTGATGTCACCATGTTACAGAAGTAAACTAAGGAGTCCAATGGTAGCATTGCACAAAATCCTATATAACACACTACAGGACAGGGACCCCCCCCCCCCCCCAAAAAAAATAGGGCCCTTATTAATATTTCTTTAACTACAAACGTAATGGTAATCCCTGATATATATAGTAAACTATCATTTTTTATATTCTTTTTAGAAAATTGGAACTATAGCTTTAATAGATTCCTCTAAGTAGGAAGAATGAGTTGAGAGCATTCAATCTTTCTCTTTGTATTGTCAAAAGAAATGACCTATTTTCCAGTATTTTCACATTTGTATCATGAGTTTCTGCGGGCCAAGGTCTCATGTAACTTTCTCAGCTGATGAAAGGGGAATAAAAAGATTCAGCAGGAAGGTATAAAAGGGATATAAAATGCATCAGTGTCAGTAAGAGCTATTTTCTCCTTCCCAGCGGTGTATACATTCTGAATTTTTTGTTTGCAATGCTGTGTCTCCAGTCTCCACCAAAAGGAGCAACAATACCCTACCGTCCTAAGGGTATTCCTGCTGGAGCCCATGCAGTATTAGCACAGCAACACCCTGCACAAGTAAGTAGAAAGATATAACTGAGATTCTAACATTACAATTGAATGGGCTCCTTTTTAGTGGGGGCTTAGACTCAGATCATTAAGCCCTCTTCACCACTAGAGGGACACATCTGTGTAATTATACAGCGATAAGCTTTTCATATTGTAATGCTGTAAGCAGTAAGATGAGGTAATGATCACATTAGAAAGTATTCGGACAAGCTGTAATGTGCGGGAGACATGAATAGCCATTTACATTAATAATTCCCCACGCAGTGTGAGACCTAAAATATGTCGTGACTTTAGCTCAGCTGACTAGTCGCTGTCCTGAATTTGGCACAGCCTGCTCTGACCTATCAGACATCTGTTGATGTTATTGGATTTCTGGCCATGGTGAAACAGGGGGAAAAACAGCAGATGACATTTAGATGAAATCCCATCAAATCCATACACATTAGAGCTATGGAAAAGAGGAAGAGAATGGATTTTCAGAATTGCACTCAGAGATTGCCCTGGTGACAAATTCACATTTCACATGGCATGTGCGAACATGTATATACCTCCTAGTTATATAACCCCATCTCCTTTCCTATTCCTTTCAGGCCTTTGCATTTCCAGGGCAGTATGCTTTTGCGCATCAAGATGTAAGTATGCTCATTTGAGTGAGTGACACCTACCCTTATGACCTTCCTTCTGCCCAATCCTTCCAAGCCACCACTTTGCCCTCTGTATTCCCTACTCTGCAAAGATGAATCTTCAGTAACCCTGATCTGTTGACATTACCAATACTAACACATTGTAGCAGCATGCATCGATTGAAATGAAAGTGAAGATCTTAAAGAGTTCATGATCAGTGATAGCTTTGTAGATTTGACTGTATTTTTGCAGATGACTGCCATGAGAAACCAGCATGCTTTCTGAATGAAATGAATCTCTTCACACTGACACTATCTGTAATGTTTGTGAACTTCAGATTGGCTCTGTATTGTAGCTGTCAGCTCCTCTGAAATAATCCAGATTGATTGGTTAGCTCTAACTTCCTTCCTACCCTGCAGTTGACCAAGCTTCACCAGTTGGCTATGCAGCATATCCCCCTCCCTTCCCTTGGGCAGAGCAACCCTACCTTCCCTGGTACGTACCCACGGCTCCCCGGGGAAGTCCATCTATCCCTCTGTCTTCACTCCTCTTCGAATCACACCATCAACACCCCCTGTCACTTCAGAGAGGAACACCGATATCTCCATTCTCTCAGAGTTTTCACACTCACACAGGTTTCTTTTAGTAGAAGGTGGCTTAAAAGAGATGTGCATATAACAAAAACTGACCTGTTAAGCTTCGGCGTCTGAATCTATTTGTACCAGATAAAACAAAATAATATTAAAAGGGATCTTTTCAAGGTTAAGCCACCATAATAGTCTATTATCAGCAATATTGAAAGTAAGTCACTGAAATATGTATTAAAACTATGTGACAGACCGAATTAAATACATTAAAACAGAGTTCTCTGAGAGGTAAATGTGACAAGTTTCAGAAATATTTACAGTGTGGTGAATATTTAACTATTTCTCATATACTCCCCAAGAAATTCAGCTCCATTTGCCCGATTTCCCCCTCCAAAAAACAAATCCTAATCTCTCGACCCCACCCTCCACCTCTGCAACATTTCTCCTCCAAATCTAACATCGTCTTCTCGGGCAAACCATCCCTGACCTCAGCCCCCCCACGTACTCATAAACTCTGCCACAACTAACTCAGGACACAACATTTCAACATTTCTGATTATATATATACTTGTTATTTCTACCAGAATGTAGCTTATCTTATTGTTGCAAAGCAAACCATAGAATGTGTGCTGAAGATGTTTATATGTGCCTATCTAGAAAGATGTTCTCATATTCCTAATTTAACAGTGTACCAGTGATAAACTAGATAAAGTAGGTTAACTTGTCATGCGGTGAAAATGGAAGCCATTAGTGCCATACTGTTGTTCACATCTCTTGTCCTACTTTACAGGATATGATGCATCTGGCCTCACAAGTTCACAAGAGCTGGCAATACCTAATGATGTAAGTGTCACAGTGTTTGTGTTGTCCCCGCACCGCTAATCCTCATGCTACTTACTGCATTAACACTTTCTAGGATGACAGCTTTAATTGGGCATTTTGGATACATTTATTAACTTAAATTAAACACATCACAAATATCATTCTAGTATTTGTTGTGGCTAGAATATTACCAAAAAATAGAAAATATGTAAACAATAATATACAGCATTCTATTAGCTATTCTACTTCAGTTTTAGGTTTCTTTATAATCTATCACCAGAATCTATAATAATCTCAGAATGACATGTGATTTTGGGTTGTATAGGTTTTATCCGAGCCTTTGACATTGATTGAGGGATCGAAATGTTTGACAAATGTGTTGATTCACATTCTTGTGGAGAGTTGGAGGACAGATATAACTCTCATATCTCAAGTCAAGTCCAACCTAATATGCCCAGATAGGGACTATTGGTATGTGCAACAGTGCAAACAGCAATAGCAAAAACACACATGCTGTAGGGCAATTACATAAAACACATTATAAAAAACAAACAGTTAGCTTAACATAATGGTGGCTGGCTAGTTATCATGTTGTATCTGATATGTTTGTGTAATCTGTACAAAAACAAAATTACAAAAACAAAATGTTGTGGTTTTATTGAGGTTATGGACTATTTCTTGGGCACTTGTTTTTTTTTTTTAAAGGAATAATAGACTAACATAATGATCATTTGTTTACCAATTACTCACCCTTTGTTACCTTGAATTCTTTATTGAAGAATTGGGTGAATGTTGACCACGTTTAAAACAGCTCATGCCATATTATCCAAATCTCATGTATCCAGTTGTACATTTTAATGTAAAGTTGTATGCTCATTACTCCCCAAACACAGATTTTTGCTAAAAACCTTAAAATCTTTCCTTCTTTAGATGCGGCACACCTCTGCAAGTGTCAGATTGAGTGTAGTAAATAATAACATTTGAGCAAATAGCATGTGTTAAGGAGGTTTAGTGGACAAATGTTCATTTTGTGGCTATCTGTTTCCCGTCTTTGTGCAGAGCTAAGCTAACTGGTTGCTAAAGTTAGCTTTGTATTTGCCTTACAGGCATGGGAGTTGTATCTATGATCTATCTAATTCTCGGGAAAAAGATCAAATGTATATCTCCCCAAATGTAAAACAAGCCTGTAGTGTTAGGATTTGCAGTATTTCAAGTCATCTTACAATAGCATTATGGTATGTTAGTAAAGTCTTCTTCTGAAATAACTTTGAGGAGATTCTGCAATCACACAGCTGTTTGGCATTTGCTTCCACATGCTGTTTTGAAATCTAATTCCTGAAAATCATAGAAACATGAACTGTTTTGCCATAAACATGTTTCCATTCTACCCTTTTCTAGTTTATTGGCTGCATAATTGGAAGACAAGGCAGTAAGATCAATGAGATTCGCCAGGTCTCTGGAGCTCACATCAAAATTGCCAGTGCCACTGATGGCTCAGCCATGCGCCAAGTCACGATCACAGGCTCGCCGGCCAGCATCAGCGTCGCCCAGTACCTCATCAACGCCAGGTAAGAATTCAGGCAGGGTGGCCGTGCTCAGCAGGGCGTCACACCTGATGATAAGACAGCCAAACAGCATGCTTTTTAAGAGGGCAGAGTTATTGTGCTCAGAGTGAGGCTGGATTTGTTCCATCTCACTGCTCCGGTCTCTTGACTGCATTCAAATCCTTATTGTCTTTGCTTTTTTAACACATTCCTTCTTTGATACTCATGTTTTCTCCTTTCTCTCACCTCCCTTCTCCTTTTGTCTCACCCCATTTTCATTTCCCACCTTCTCCTCTGAACCCTTCACCATCTGAATCCCCCCCCTCCAAACGTCACATCCTGCAGCTTAGAGATGGCTAAATACACCATGCAGGCCGCTTCCTCTGCGACCCCCGTTGACCTCAACATGAGCTTCTCTCAGTCCGCTCCCTCCAATGCTGCTACCTCTATGGCCGTCCTGGCGGCAAACACCCAAGCCCCCATTAACGTTCACTCTCCCTCCACCTTACAAGCCCTCCAAAACCAACATTACGCCGTCCCCGTTTCCAGCCTGCTTGGCATGAAAACTCTCCTGGCTGTCCACCCAGCAGCCGCTTCCAGCCTAGCTCAGGGTTTATGCCCTTACACTGCAAAAATGACAACCGCCGGCATGAAAAAGTCTGACCGGCAGAAGTTCGCTCCTTATTGATGTCAGCTTTATTAGTCTAGTCAGTGTAGCTGACTGGTAAGACATAAAAAATTATGAGAAATTATTTTAAAATGACCATAGAGGCTTAAAAATAGCTTACGCCAGTGTGTGCAAGTGTTGCCAGTGTAGCACTTGTTTCACATAAATTGGAAGATTATTAAGAACAGAACTGAAAGGGTGTTCGTATTAAAACATGTCCTCATTAATTAAAACTGGCAGCAGAGGTGCATATTAACTCAGTATTATCTTGTGGACATGCATAATAATTCATTAATGTTGGTAACTCAGGCTTATATTAGTATCCTGGAAAAAGGTATTTTTTTCCAATGGATTCATGTTACAGAGCTTTATATGAAGACTCCAGGAGAGGTATTTTACATGATGCAAATATTGACTTAGTTTTTTATCAGTGTCACTAGTTTACAATACTTTTGTATTAGATAATGCAAACTAGTATCACGAGTATGGTGCTTTGTTGGCAGCAGGCTGTTAAAATGTTTGTCTTGTACAGTAGAGGTCAGTGTGTTTAGTATTTTTTAAGATTTTGTTATGGTTTTATGGATTGTCAACTTAACCTTTCCTCACTATAGGCTCTCCTCAGTGCTAACAGGCTTGGGTGTTCTGTAGTAGCATTGCGCTGTTGCCGTTCTGATGGGATTATCCTAAAGCCACATTGGATTCTTGTGGATTTCACTCTACACTGTAATCCTGTAGAGCGGGACTGGCATAACTCATTCATTGTTTCTGTATGCTAGTTTTGTTTCCTGTTCTTTTTTCCAAACCTAAATGACTGGAATGCTTAAATTTTCAGTGTCTGAAATGGATTCTGAGCAATTATTTTAATAAAGGTTTTATTCATGTGTTTCTGATTTGGGTCTACCCCCAAACAATGCAGATTTGTAAAATTCGTTGATGAAATGACTTTGAAATAAATGGGACTTTTTATGAATACAGATTGGTTGCTTTCTTTTAATCATACTTCACATTTTTTGTTAATCATTCACTCTTAAATACAAACATTGACTCTGTTAAATTATGTATTGTTTATTCTTGAGTAGCATTGAGCTAAATTACAGTTAAAACGCATTTTGCATTCTTTTTATTTTTGTTCAAACTAAATCTTTATGTTTGAGACTATGTATGCATGCAGTGGATGAGGTGTTTGAGCTGTTGATATGGTGTGATATTTATCTTATTTTCACATTTTGTTGTTGCAAATCATTGACATACTGTAAACAAACTGACATGAAAAGGTTACATTTCTCCCGTGTTTCTGTCTGACCTGTATAAAACCAGACACCTGGAGTAATATGACTCATAGCAAACAGATATTATTCTCCATTTTCTTATATTTCTCCAAAAAGAAATTGTGCATTTACAGCCTGGACATGTAAAACATTAAACTGCAGTGAAACAGAAATATAGAAAACAATAGAGAGAGTGGTATCGGGGGCCATTAGCAGTCTGCAACACTCAGACATTTACAGGTTTTGGCAGTTATACAAACACAATCCTGCACCGACTAGTCTGTGGTATTATGGAGGCAGTTGTTGATGGCAGAGAACACAAAGCTCCTGCCCAAACAAACTTTTCGACCTGCACTCTCTTTAAAACAGAAGCAAACTTGTGCTAACCTCACAGTAAATATTCAGCACATGTTGTGGCAAATTCTCACGGGTCCTGGAAAAGAACAACTTAACCTCCAGTTGTCCGCTCAAGCATACTGCTAATGGGCAGGTAGGGCAGTGAAGTCTGTGCTGCTTTATCCCTACCCCCTTTGATTTTTACTTCCCCCTCTTTTACTGTAAAAACCATGAGGTGGGCACTCTGCCTGATCCATGGAGTACGGGTATAGCGAGCCATGCGGTCCACTTCCACAGGAGGGCTCGAAATGCTGAAGTGGAAGATAATCAATAGTTAATGGGGGCAGTAATGTAATGACAGTGAAGGATGACATTTGAACCTCGGGGAAGGTGTAGCAGTGGAGAACAGTGCTGCATGTATGCTGATGGGAGCCCAGGGCAGTTATGGGTTCACAGCCAGCTTCTAATGCTATATTAATGATTTCCCTTTTCAACCTGACACGGGCAGGAGTGAGGGTTTTGGAGCTGCCATCATGGCGTTTTGAAAAAACAATTTGGAGGTAAATAAATACTGTATTTATTTTTGTAGGTGTACAACCGCTAGAAAGCTTGTTGTAAATTCGTAGGCAGGGCTCTCACATAATCCCTGGTGGAAAAGGACTGCGATACTCCAGGGACAGGCTAGCATATCTCTGTTGCCTGAGGTAGAAACATTTAAAGTAAAAGTAGCAAGACAACAATATAAAAAGACCTGCAATCAAAATGTACCTAATAGAGTAGAAAAGTATAAGTAGCGACAAGAGGTATGCAGGTACAATGATTATTTTTACTGATGCATTAATGTATAATATTGCAGGTGGCCACAGAAGAAGAGTGCTGCAGGGAAAATAAAAAGGCACATGTTTTTTTTATTGAATTTTGGATTATGGCAGTAAATAGGCTCTGTCATCAACACAAGTTTATGACACTTACATATTTTCTTCAGCAGACAATATTCACAAACTATGAACTTCTGAAGCTTAAATTCAATTGCAAGAGGTACAAAGCTAACGTTGGCTATGAACAAACTACACCACTGTCGCAGGACTTTGTGTCAAAACCACTAAACTAAAAGACTGTTGTTGTGATCACGTTTAGTCTTATTAAGCTACTGAGCAAACACCTCTTTTGAGGAAGGTAAACAAATCTAATTTCACTAGTGGGGTATTTGTAGGCCTACTGGCGGATGTTATGTTGTATGTAGAACAAAACTTTACAATCTTTGAAGCTAATGTTAACCACAGGTGTTACATCAAGTGTTTAACCAAACATCCAGTTAAACTTAATCTTCCAGACAAGGGACCCAGAGATGCAAAAATGTTTACTTGTTTACAGATTTTAGGCTAAATGTAGCACATGCTAACAGGCTAAACGAAGATGATGAGCATGGTAAGCATGTTAGCAGTGGCGCAACAAGGTTGTGATTTGCCCCGGTACAAATATTGTTTTGCCCCCCTCCATTGCCCCAAACATAAGCACACGCTGATGCGCTCACACACGCACGGACATACACTCTCTCTTGTCCTTTCTCTTTTGAGCGCGGCTCTTGTTTGCTGTACATTATAAAGGCAAGCTATTACATTTGTTATAATGCTGCCGAACTTGCTGCTGCTAGCTACACAGTACAGTACAGGTTGATTAAACGGTTCGCTTGTCACGCAAGGTATCACATGACATGAAAGGGAGCGAGGTCATTGGACAGACAAATTACAAATTCATTTAGGTTGCTTGGTTACTTTGAAGACTGCGTGAACCGATCAATGCCATTGGGCC